GCCCCGCGCGCGGGGCCGGGGGGCGCCCCCCCCGCGGCCCCCCCCCCCGCCTCTGCGGAGGGCGCGGGAGGGATCGTGGGCGGAGCGACCCGGTCCGGGACCGGATCAGATCGGGGAACATGGCGGCGGCCGGCCGGAGGGTGGCGAAGGTAGGCAGGGTGACGCGGAGACCCTTTTAGGACTTCGAAGGCAGCTCGAGGAAGGCTGGAGAGGCGGGAAAGGGGAGGCTGGCTGTGCTTCAGGAAACGTCGCAAGCGATGGACATTTTGCTAAGTAAGGCCTGCCTCTTTGGGGCGGAGGCGACGGAGTCTCGAACCGGCAGATGCTGGGGAGCCCCGCTGCATCTCCAAGATGAAGGAGTAGCTCCTGTGTCCGCCAGGCAGGCAGGCAGTTCTGGACCCCGAAGGCTTAACCGGGACGTGTGGCTGGAGTGGGGCAGGCAGGGCAGGAGCAGCCTGCGGCGAGCTGTCCCTTTGACGGCGTCTCTTTTTGCTAAAAGCCTTCGGCAATAAATGTTTAGCTTCAACTTTTGCTGGGAAGAGGATGGTCTTAACGGGATGCCCTCCGAGTCCGTGGGCTAGGGGAGCATCTGCCTGGCGGTCCGGGCGTGCTCTAATAATTTGGTGCCCTTCAGAGCCGCAGGAAGACAATCGGAGCCCGCTGGCTGCGGGTGGCCCCGTTTTGAAGGAAAACGCTTGAAGGGAAGGCTCAGGAGCTGCCAGCGGAGCCGCTGGAGGAAAGGAGCTCTTGGGTGCTTTCGGTTTCGATTACGGTTAGCTGGAGAGCTTGCGTGGGAAGGAGGGAGGAGGAAACTAAACCAAACTGAAAAGCTGTTTGGAGAATGCCAAGTGATCAGTGACTCAGAAAAGCCATAAAGCAGGTCTTTACGCTGCTACGGTATAAGCCAATGCATTTTACAGTGACTTGAAAATGAAAAGTTGATGCTCCTTGGATGCATTGGACTTCAACTCCCATAATTCCTAGCTGCCTAAATCCAGGGTGAGAGCACCAGGTTGGGGAAGGCTAGCATAGAAATACGCCTGGATTGCTTGAAATCTGTCAGGCTGCTGTCAGCATTGATCTTGGAGCTACTTTGTTGTGTGGGTGTGGTTTTCTTTTCTTTTTTCTTTTTTGTCTTTTCAGGAGCTTGATGCCATTAAGAAATTAGGGTTACGATACCTCCGGAATATTCAAGCAGACGTGACCAATATTCTCCTTTGGAAAGGACTTTTAGTGCCGGTGAGCTTAAGGGAGCTGGTTAAAAACAATTGGGACTGAGAGCCTGCAGGAGATTGTAATCATGAAAACACTGCAAAGTATCAGAGTCTTTATTTAAGTGAGAGAGGATTATATTTTCAACTTGGGATGCTAAAAGGCCTTACGTGTTCACTAGATGGGAAGGAACTATTTATATTTTAGATTGGCCTGCAAGGAAAAACCAGTTCACTAGCTCCTGCTATGAATCATGCTTGTTCCTGTCTTTGTATCCAGGATAATCCTCCATACAATAAAGGTGCCTTCTGGATTGAGATCAGTTTTCCACATGAGTATCCACTCAAGCCTCCCACAATAACTTTCAAAACCAAGATCTACCACCCCAGTGTGGATGAGATGGGTCAACTGTGCCTGCCAATCATCAGCGCAGATAACTGGCAGCCTTCTACAAGGATAAACCAAGGTATCACATGAAGGGGCAGGATGGGTAGAGCTGGGGCTGCTGGGTGGCTTTCATTCAATTGCCAGTTTGTGTGTGTTTTTCTCTGTTTGAAGGAAGTGTCACTTTTGATCTTTTCTGCAGTAATTGAGGCCTTGATAGTGCTGGTGAATAAGCCTGAAATAGACCACCCATTGCGCCCAGAAGTTGCTAAGGAGTTCAAACAGGACTACGAGAAATTCCTGTTGCGGGCAGAAGATCACACCTGCAGTTTCAGTGAGCAGCGGCCATGCGAGTGACCTGTGCCCCCGGATCAGTGTCTGCCCTACGTAGCTGCCTATCTATTCTTTAGAACAGTGTTTCTCAACCGTGGCAACTTTAAGACGTATGGACTTCAACTCCCAGAATTCCCCAGCCAGCATGTTTTAAAGACTGGAGACCTTGTCTACTAATGGGATGGTAGAGAAGGGGGATCAGACAAATAATGTACATGATGAAATTCTGGATTGTTCTGACTTTAAGGCCAGAACTACCCATTTGGGGAACATTCATACTCTTGAACAGGCACAGATTCGAACTTGAGGTGCAGATTCATCTGAGTTAAGTTAAAATCTGTGCCTGTTCAAGGGTATAAATGAAATCCTGTGTTACCTCCCCATCCTGGAGCTAAAATCTGTTCCCAAAAAGAGTAGTTCTGGCCTTAAAGGCAGCATTGGATTTCGATAACTTTCAAGTCAAACTGAAGAGATGACATGGTTTTCTAAGACAGAACAATTTTCTCCAAAATGAACAGAACAAATTAGGACATCTGCAAAGTTTCAGGAGTACGTCAGAGAATCAGAGTTAGAATTCCACAGAGAAAGTAGTAAGTTTTCTGTTTTCCAAATGTGGAAACACTGGGTTGATGAGAGGAGGGGAAAAGCTGAGAGGGTTGCTTTCTAATCAAAGAATGACTTACAATGAACAGACCAACAGGAATGCTTCTGGGGAGAAAAAAGGGTATTGCACTTTCGCTTTGTAACTTGCCATTTTCTTGCTAGTTCTATCTTACCTAAGACGAAGAAAATAAACACGTTCTTAATTCTTTCTCATTTATTCTTCCTCATGCGAGTCTCCATTTTCATAGTCAGTCCTACTTCAGCATTTTAGCTTTGTTTCCAAATCTTTCCTTTTCTATTCCAAGTTCAATTTATTCAATGTATTGTAGAGTTTCTCTCACGTCTTCTTAGATCTTAGTAATTGCATAGGCTGTGTGGCTTCCCAACTCTTTCTCCATTCATCCTTTTGGTGGTGATTAAATTATACTTTGAACCTAGCTTTATGTTCTGTAATAAATGTAGGCTATAATTTATTATAAATAATGTTACCTTACTGTCATTACAGACTTCTGCTGTCGTATTGTTTTCTTTTAACTTGCTGTGTGTGAATTTGATTTTACACCTAAGCAAAGTACAATGATTTGTTCTAACAGCTGTTAACAATACAAGAATCAGTCTCATGGATCACAATGATGTGCACTGAGACTATCCGGTGTTCAATATCCCCAAAGAGCAGATTAAACCACTAGGACTTGCTTTCCTAGGACTTGATTTCTTTTCAAGCTCCCCGCTTTTTAAAGGAGGTTGCTCCTCTGAATGTACTTGCCCTGGCCATGGAAGAAACAAGAATAGGCATTTCTGCAGGGTAGGATGCCAGCGTGTACACACCTGTCTTCTGATTTCGGTAAATAAGAAACAGTTTGCAGCTCTCCTTCCTCCTCAGTTCAGGCTTAAAGCCCCCCCCCCTTTCTAAATGTGATGTATTTATATTTAAAAGTGAGAAGAGGAAGTTAAAGGGGATTTTTACACTGAATTAAATTTGTTTGCCATCTTATAAAATAAGCTGTCCTCTGAACAATTTCAACTGATTCCTCCCCCGAGTCGTTCCAAGCTGCTGAGAACAGAGTAAAATCACCACATTCAAATCTCTGCCTCCAGAGAGGTTTTCATTACCACACATTGAAAGCTTTGCTGCTTGATGTTTGCCCAGCACTTTTTCCTGTAAACTAACAAAGGAGGGGATCCCCCACTCCCTCCAGTCAGCTTATTTATTCTTAGCCTGTTCTCTGCACAGTGTGATCTCTGCTCAAAGTTCAATGGTTTGGGGAGTAACTGAATGCAGAGGAGCTTATTTCCTAGTAAACAAACATGAGGTTAGGCCATGTATGCCCTGTCCTTCAAACCGTTCTAATACGCTTGGGTGGCTGCTTCAAACAGAGCTGTTTGCATTCTCCCCTGGAAGCCATGCTGCAGGCCACCTGAGCTGCCATTGCTAAAACAGAATGCAGCATAAAAATACAGTGTGACGGTTTTGACTTGGTACACTGTGCTTTAATGGAACCGGTGCCTTGTAAGGGAAAGGGTGATTGCAGCATGGGTTGCAGGAAGACTTTTGCAATCCAAAAACAGGATGCAGAGTTGGTGATGGTAACATCTGGAAGGACACACTTTTTCTGAGTCATGTTTATTTGGGACAGGCTCAGTTCTGCTTCCACAAAAATCAGATTTTTGAAGTGCTGACGTGACATCAGTAAGCATTCCTTTCCTGCTCTTTTCAAAAGCACGTTGGCAGAAAGGCGACAGATAGCAGACTTTAGTGCTAGCGAAGATTAAGTAGTGGTTGATTCCAGTGTCACACTCAGGAAATTGCAGAATAATGTTCTTTAGCCAGGGTACATCCCATGTTGCATTCCCTCTGAAAAATAAAAGAAATTCTGAATTTGAGGCCTCTTGATCCTTGGAGAAAACAGAAGCAAAGCACAGGGGGTGGTCCCAAGCATAGCTTCTCAACAGTTGCTGTGATTTCTACAGTGTTTCTAAGCAGGTCTACAGGCCAACCTACCCACCAGTTCAGTATAGAAGAGCCACACCTGTATTTTTCTTTGAAACCCTATCCGCTTTATTGTGGAAAAGATCCAGCTATTGAATAAGGCTATTTTCCCAATCTGGAGCCCTCCACATGTGTTGGGCATGTTGACTGGGGATCTTAATGCTTGAAGCCTCACATCTAGAGGGCACCTGGTCAGCGAATGCCAGAATACTAAGCTGGCTTTTCATCTTCTGCCTGGGACTATCCCTTCAGAAGTAACTATCTTCATTTGCTATTTTTACTACCCCAGCATGCTGTGGCTAGACCTCTAAAATTCTTCAGGAAGTGGAAACAACTAACATATCCCCACTGTACCCGGGTCTTGGAAGCCAAAATGGCTATCTTCCCAGTAGTGAGAGTGTTGAGATCCCTGCCATCAAGATGGACTTTTCTATTGATCAAACACCTATCATTTAACATACTTAATTTCTTAATCATTTAGGTGTTGTCCTTTGATGCTTTCCCACTGACTAAAATAGCAACATCATCATTAGACATTTCCATTTGTGCAGATACAGTACTATATTTCTTGACAGCTAATAAAGTAATATGGTGTGAGGGAATTTGAGACCCACAAAAGGAGAACATACTATATCCCACTAATAAGGGGATTATTCCCAAGTCTTGAAGGTGGGACAGTAATACTGGTTATGCCAAAAGACATGATAAGACTTCCAAGGAATGCGTCAGAGATCCTAAGTTAAATATGGAACCTTGAACTTTTTAGCCCTAATACATAAATACTTGTAGGTGTTCCAACTAGACCTGAAAGATGGGGGATAATTTAAAAACAAATTATGACTAAAGTTCTTCATTGCCATGTGCTACTAATGAACAAGATCTCAATCCCTCTATCGCTTTCCATTTCTTTTGCTATTGTCTTGCTGCATTTAGTGTGATTTTAGAATTTCAAGGAGATATTCCCCTTTGAAGAAGAGAACTACAGTAACCCTCTTACCTGTCCCACCAAGTTTTTCTATAGCTTCCAGTTAGCCTCGAACCTAAGCCTGCTTTGCATTTCTATTTCTTCTTGGTCTTTACTAGCCCTTTCTCCACCAAGCTGCGATAAAGTTCCTGGATGTAGGTGTAGATGCATTTATTATCAGGAACACTCATGCGCACCATATCATCCACTTCCAGAAGTTGAGCACAGTCAGCATATGTCCTAGAAAGAGATTGACAAATAGTCAGGTATGCTGCACACCTCAATGGTTTGGCAAAGCAGTTGAGTATAGCCCTTCATCCCCAGAACTCCAAAGCCCTATTCTAGAGAGCTGATCAGGATGGAAAGGGATGGTTACCAAAATCATGGCTCATCTAACAAGCTGAGGCGCAAGGAGGCAGTTAACTGGAACATCTTGCCTTTTCAAGTTGAGTCAATGGCATTGTAGCTCAACAGTAACACTGAGGATACTATAAGCCACTGAAGTTAATTCTTTTGAAACTCTGGGGAACATAATACAGATGCAGAACCTACTCTTGCTTTTGATTATCTAACTATCATGTTTATCCAATTATCTGGCAAGGGCTCCTGCTTCTTTTCCAGAATGGGTCCTTACACTGGCTGTTCAAAGATTCTGAATTCTCTCCTTCAGAGCGTAATGTTATCTTGAAGCATGACATTTATACAGCACCATCAGTCTACAAATTGTCCAGCAATTTGATAAAGAGTGTCCTCTAAGTTATTGTCTATCGCTGCTTGGTTTGGATCTGCTGTGTTTTGAAGATGTGCTGCTTTTCTTCAAAAAGAATAAATGATTACTGATTACTATTTATGATGGTTATATGTTACCTCCAAGTTCAGAGATAGTGTGCATGTCAATACCAGCTGCTGAGGGACAAGTGGGAGGATGCTACCCGAGATTTCTGTTTAACTACTGGGGAACACAGTTCTGGACTAGAAAAGACTTTAGTCTGATCCAGTAGGGCACTTATGTTGTTATGATAATGTACTTGAAGGAATTTGGTTACCTCTTTTCTTGAACTCTCCTATTTTATCATGCCGAACAGTTGAAGGTTGATCAACTAAGACATAGCTAATTTCTCCTTGGAAAGCAGTCCTTACCATGTTAAAGGAAGCAGTTGTGAAGTAGCTCCTTAGCAAACTTCATCATGTGCCAGTTACAATTATTTATTTTTGAAACAAGAGATGCTAACTGGTATTAGATAATAACTCCAGGCTTTTTAAATTCTATAAACTGGGTTCAGGTATAGCTTTGGGCTGAAATAACTTTATGAATTTCTGTTTGATATTGCTAATTCTCATGGATGTTCTGTAGCAGGATGCTTCAATACTTCTGACTATACTTGTATTCCTGATCCTGGCTATCTGAGAAGGAATATGGGACATTGTACTCAGTTGATTATTTTTTCTTATCTGAATAACTGTTTCCTGAAGGTGGTGCTGAGATATTATTGCTCTGTCTCATAGCCCTTGTACTATAAAGCTCTGCAAAGCTTTGTTTTGTCTCCAGCGCTTATCAGAATTGACATGAAGCCACTGAGAATTTCAAGAGAATCAGGGTGAAGTGTTATTAATAGGTGATTGATACTCAGATTTGCTTCTTCTCTTCATCAGATTCAGTTGAGGAATCGAGCTGGATGAAAGCCTATGTTGAAGGTCAACCCAAAGAAGATGGTAACACTAGTAGCAGATAGCTTTATGGAATGGAGAAATGGAGGTCAGCCTCTTTGTAAAAGGCTGTATTCTCCTTTTAAAGTTCAGGTTCTCAGCTTGATGGATCTGTGTGAATTTTAGCTGGGGATGTCTAACTGTCATGTGTGACCAAAAAGAAAGCCATTTGTCAGCTGCAGAAACTCCTGAATAAGGATAACTAGGCCATTGTCATCCATGTTTTTCTCATATCAATGAGATTAGACTACTGCAGTCTGCTGTATATAGGGCTGTCTAGAGAGATTTTTTCACAAACTTTAAAATTTGTCCAAAATATTGTTGCTAAGTATGGATGGGATTAGTGGTTAGAAGTATATGATGCCAGTCTTTTAGCTACCAGCCAGTTTAAAAGTAAGCTGCAGGACTTCAAATTGTACATCCCATGTGGTATGGAGCTCAAGTAACAGAATAAAATCTACACAATTGTGCCTGCATGCTAAGATAATCCTTTATGCTTTTCTCTAAGTTTCCCTGCTTTTGGAGGTTCTATGCCTCCCTGCTTTGTAGGGAGTTTCCCCATGCTGCTGCCTATATAAGTGGAAGGCCCTTTGATCATGCTACGATTTTAATCCCTGTTAAAGTGGGCAATGTTTGCACATTTGCCAATTAAACTGATTAATTGTTGGTCATGGATTTGATCTGTTGTTAATGCTGTTATTTCATATGAGCTATTGTAATGGAAGGCATAGGCGAGGAGGAGACTGTCTGAGAGATCAAGGCTATCAGGAGGAAGGGAGTGCGTTCCAGAGGAAGGGCAAGGCGAGCACTTTCTCAGCCCACAGCAGGACCATGAGAAGAAGAGGCTGAGAAAGTGCTTGCCTTGCCCCTTCCTCTGGAATGCACTCCCTCCCTTCTGATAGCCTTGATCTCTCAGACCAGTCTCCTCCTCACCTATGCCTTCCATTACAGCTATATAACAATAAAACTGGAAGTCAGGACAAAATTACTTCAGTGAATAATTTTACACATTTACCAACACCAGCATGTACTTTCTGGAGGTTAGTGCTTAACCTGCCCTATAGCTGTGGTCTTGTCTTGAGGTCTAGAATGGAGGGGAGTGCTCACTCAGCGGTAGAGAAGGCCAGGGTAAAATTCTCTTTCCGATTTGCTGGGTCAAGGCTTGCGTAGTCAAAGGCATCGGGAAAGAACTTGTGGATGAGGGCACAAAAAGCCATGCCACTTTTCCAACTGGTGGAAAAGTTCTGGATGTCCACGTGCTGAGAATGAGAAAAAGAGATATTTAGCCCAGAAACTCAACCACCTCCCCTTCGTAGGTTGTCCTACACACTGCACTAGCAACTGAAAAATGTATTCATATCTATTTAATCTAAAATTGTCATTCTGGTAGAACATGTTGTAATAGAACAAGTTGTGTTGATTTTAAAACCATCACAACAAAAATGGATGGTAGTTTCATGAAATCAGACACCTACAGATGATTCCTAGTTTGGTTTATTGTTTTTTGTTTTGTTTTTAATTTTCCCTCTGCCAACCTCTAGTGAGACTGTACTATTATGATATCACACATTATTATTTTGAGGAATCACAGAATGTATCTGAGGATGCTAGACAAGTACATAATATCCTTTTAGCGTGAGGGACAGCCTATCTATATCCCACTATAATTATGTGTATAAGTAGTTGCAAAGAAATAACACTTAGCATGTAACATATTTAAGACGCTTCAGTGAAACATCTGTCTACTATATATGATACTTTTTTGGCAAATGGCAGCATCTGGTTGGTTCTGCTTGGGCTAAGAAGCTGAGAGTGTTGGGCCTGATCAGTACTTGAACTGGAGATTATCAGGAAATCCCAGAGCAGTTGGCCAGACTGGGAAGTCAAATAAACATCCTGGAATAAGGCAAAGGCAAATCATTTGTATTATTGCCAAGAGAACCAGGGCTGTGCAGTGCTTTGTATTTGAAGAGGAGAAGGGATTTGGTGCCCTTGGGGTTGCTGACATAACATCTATGGGCAACTTCTTAGAGCAGCTACATCTTTTTCTAGATTGTGTGGCTGTCCTTTTCTGCTACAGTGCAATCCCCAAAAAGGAGCATTTGGTTGAAGGAATTGCCAAGAGGCGCTATTTGTATGCCCTTAAGTGATCTGACGCCTCTTTTTCCCTTTAAATCTGAAATGCTGCACAGTTTTAAGGAAAACTACATGAATATGTCCCAGAAGTAATCAGGAGTCGAGTTCAACTCAAGCAGGACTTACATATAACATTAAATAGGTCATCTATAAAAGTATGGCAATAAAGGGGGAGCCTTCTGAATCTAGACTGTTGTGTTAAAGAAGAGAAGGTTTAACACCCTCCCCTTTATGAGCATTGTTAACTGTAACATGGAAGTGGGAGAGCAAAATTGCAAGGATGATGGAGAATTATGCTTATTGTCCCCATATGCTCAGCATCCTTACTCTGCCTTCCTTTTAATTTATTTTCAAAAACTTCACATGATATTTCTATCATTTGTCCCTCAGTAATCCTTCAAGCATGCCTGCATTATAGATAATGATTTATGAAGCCGACCATTTCTGACACACAGTACAACATGCATCGCATGTAGCAATGGTTTCATGTGTTCTGCCAGATGGTCACTGCTATTATGACAGGTCCTGTGTTTTGTAATACGTGAATTCTCAACACGTATTTCACCATTTTCACTGTGCCTTAACAGTTGTAACTCCAAATTATTTTGCTGTCTCAATATGTGAGATATACTGGCTTTCAACTGAGATTTTGTAGTTCATAACTCATTCTCTTAACTCTTTGAGTGTAGTTCAACATCTGAATATAATGCATAATGGGAAAACAGTACAGACTAAAATCGCACATGTATATCTTCATACTCACATGATAGCAGTACTGTTTTATGTGTTGGTTAATAACAAAGACATACCAACAGCACACAAAGAGATATTTCCTGACCTAGTTCACAGAAGAATTATTCTACTATTATTCTACTATGATCCCTCCAGGACTTTGTTCTCCAATTCTAATCAGAAATGGGGGGGGGATTTGAAGTACCATCAGAATCTAGAAATGTCCCTGAGACATTATATATAGCCAAAAAAGACAATACAAGCAAGAGGTGGCAGCAGAGGGTTTTTTTGGAGGGGAGTTGGGGGTTGTTACAAGTTCATAATCTTCAACCCTGGGTAGTGGTGCTTTCCCAAATACTGTACTCTTAAAGACTCACCACTGTGTATATTTACTCATTTCTGAGTAAATATGCACAGTTGTGAGTGTTTAAGAATATGACTAAGTTTGACTAAGTTTGCTGGAACTAGAGGAATATTGTCTTCATATCTCCTAAATGCTGATCAATCCACATAGGCCTTCCTGCTATTGCATTACTGGTGCCTCCTACATTCCACTTTGCCTTCCAAGGGAAACACATTTGCCTACTTCACTGCAGGGAAACATTTAAGGGCACTGGGGGAGTTCTCATTTCACACTTGATACCTTACTTCATAGCCACGGGTCATGGCCCGGCACCATTCCAGCAACATGGTCTTCACAGTGCTTGCAGCTCCAGTCCTCTTGATGTTGGGGGCAGGACCAGTTGCAGCCCTTTGGAGGATGATTAAAGGAAAGGGAGGAAGGGAGGAAGGGAGGAAGGAAACAAATGTGTTTTTTAATCATACACAGATCCTGAGCTTTGGTTGGTGTAATTTCTTTTTCCCCCCCATTATTTTCTGCTGAACATCTGCTGGGACAGACATCTGCCTGATTTGTATCCATATCTATTGTCTACTCTGGTTGTGTAGATACCTATGCATTTTATAATCTGTGCAGGAGAAACTCTTGGTCAGGGCCAGTATCTGTCTTTTAGAGGTGCTGCAAATGGTTGTGTTCTGGTGGGCTTACTTGGCTGTGCAGACATATCTGAAGTATAGTGAGGTGGGCTTTCACTGCCCCAACATCTGAAGTTTCTTGCGGTAGCTGGATCTAGCCACACTTCCTAAATATGACACCTTATAAATGGTCTTGGATGATAATTGTCACCAGTGCTGGCTGGGGGATGATGGGTGCTGATTGGGGAAGTCTGAGTTTATATATTGTGCTAAGCCAGGGGTGAGTAACCATTAGCTGCCCAGGGACTATACAGTTTTTGTATGTTAAGATCAGAATTGACTGAGGCAGTGAGGTAAGTATTGTGTCACATAAATAGATGTCACTAGGATTTTTGTTTTTTCTCTTTTGGGTTGGGGATTGTTTTTTAAATATTCTTCACTGTGTGAAGAATATGGTCTGCTTATGGTGCATGATACATTCCTTTTACAGTACTGAATGGCCCTTCAGCAAAGCAGCAGTAGCATATAGTGAAGTTCTAAATACTCCACTTCCTTAAGAGCTTTGGAAAATCATTTTTTTTTCTTTTCGCTAATCTCTCACTTCAGCTATGTGTGAAGCACAGTTTCTTTCTTTGCTTTCTCACTGAACAGATGGCCTGTCATACCCCTTGTCTCGTAGCTTATGTTTCAGCCAGTCAAACCTGGAGAAAACTCCTCAAGTGCAGATATGTTGGTATGAAAGTTAGCAACCATACATTCCTATCAGGATTTGTTGGAATAATATATTCATCAGCAATGCTGATCTGGCACCATGGAAGGTGAAGCCTTTTTTGGCTTCTCAGCGTGCGCCAATAGCTCCCCCAAAGCAATCCTTCCACTGCAATTATCCACATAGCAGGCTACCTTGATTAATGCTTTGTAAAGTATTGGACAAATGCATGACATTTGTATGTATGAAGGGAAAGGATTCCAGAAAAAAAAAAGGAGGGGGTCCATTTAACTTTCTTTTTCTTTTGGCTCTTTGTGAATTCATGCAGTGCTAGAAGCTGGGAGCTATGGACTAGGTGACTGGAGTTTTGAGGCAGGGAGACTGGACTCTTATTGACTGCTATTCATAGGTTGGTCTGCTTGTCTCTGTACTCAGATACTAGCTGGCTTGGCTGAGCAGTGATTGGCACAAAACTAGACAGTATGATAAACATACTTGGGAGTTGCCTACTGTGAGAGAGAAGTGATGGTGGCAGCAATAAAGCACGTTACGGATTATTTGAAAATGGAACAAATTGTCAGCTGGTGAAGCTTAATGCATAGCCTATTTTAGGGCTTACTTTAAAACATTCATTTGCTTTCAGTCTCAAAATATCTGGAAACCATGCTGCAAAGTTTCATCAGTAAGTCAGGCAGACCACATACAGCAGTGTTGTCCAAACTTGGCCGCTTTAAGATGAGTGG